CCACTGTATATATATATATATATATATATATATGTGTGTGTGTGTCATATATTTTAATGTATATGTAAGTTTCAATGTCCATTCCCCTCTAGAATGTGTTTCTTAAGTTATTTCCTGTAAGTTTGTAATTGTGTAGGATACGATATGTGCGCATGAACATGAAATCCCGGATAAACTGTAAGTCCAGACTTCTTTCAGCATCGATGACGGATAAGGGCTCACATTCGCTTTTCAAGTGGAATCAAAGCTTGAGGAATCACAAAATAAAAAAAAAATACCACTCAAAACGTCTTAGAATCCGCATAGCAACATGTTAGCAACTTAACAGTGCACACGTACAAACACCCAAAACACTTTCTTCTATCTTGCAACTAGGGTTGGGCCGATAGACGATGCCATCGTCCATCGCCGATGGCTGATAGACATCACGATGTTGAGCCGGCATCGTGAGCAAAGTAAATGATAAAATTTTGATACAATTGATAACACAATTTTCAAAACTGTTTTCATGTCATAATATACATTTACATTAAATATTCCACTCTCATTAATGGAGATAAGCACTGAAATTACATAAAGTCATTACGCAGAAGTTAAACCAAAATTATATAATTTTAGACATAGCCTAGTGGATGCGCTTGATTACTTTTCCTGTGGTATGTTGTTTTAATGACAGCGAGGAGTGCTATAGGTGCACAATAATTTATCTTTAAAGTAAACTGCACATCTCATGTTATGAGAAAATATTTTTAGCGAAACAATGATCAATGATGCGCACTTACTTCGATATGGTGGCGGACACTGCTGGATTCGGTGGAACGGTCTATTGTCCGGTTTGAATAGGTCCAATGATAATAGCTTACTGTACAACCACAGCTGCACGGAAGTGTTGATGTCGTGTGAAGGCATCTCCACAACATTATGAAAAATACCACTGTATCTGAAGGATACAACTCGAAGAAAACGGTAAGATTTGCACGTTTCCTTTTTCAAATAATTTGTCAATGACGCGCAGAGTCAGATAATTGTATTTACACTGCAATAAATATAGGCCTATATTTTTTCCACTAAAAGATAGCTAAAAGATGTTCATCTTATCAGCAAAACTGCATTAATTTAATTTCATTTGAATTTTAAAAAACAATTGAAATATTATTGGGCCAGTGGAAATGAATGAGATCAACTCTATTCTTAATTATTTTTCTGAGAACTATTTTAAACAGTTTTTTATGGATATTGCCATATATGGTGATTTCGGGGAGGAGTCGGGGTGGAGATGCACGTAAACACAATCTTACCCTGACTGGGATTTATAAAGGGATTTTTGCGCAGGTTCTGGCGTACGCATGGTTTTATAAATCGGAAAACTTTTGAGCGTACGCAAAATCTAGCTTTTGTGCCTACGTACACTTTTAGGATGAAATCTATGGAGAGTTTTATAAATGAGACCCCTGGATTTGACCGGATTAACAGATTGATCAATTTAAAGAGCCTTAATGAGGGAAAATATTTGAGCCTAAAGCAAAAACATCATCAACATTAACTTCAAAAAGATCAAATGTGCGCGTGGATTAGAGTTCTGTTTCCGAATGATGCAACCTTCGTACAATTCCCTAGAAATACGTCTAAATGTGCTGCAGCTCACGTGGCTTATTTCTCTCCAGCAAAATAATCACGCTCATTTGCTTCAGTGCAAGATATTGAGACTCACCGCCATCAATATGTACTACATTTATGTTGTTTTTATAGCGCTTTGGAGCTTGACAGCCCGTGGTCTCAAAATAATGTTCTTCAAAATAGAATTGTTTTTGTTTCACAGAGGAAAGACATGGATGACAAGGACTGAATGAATTTATAATATCTCATTAAATGAAAAAAATCTCCTCGGTGGTCTCATGTTGACAAATTAATCTTGTATAAAACCGTATCCATGCAAATGACATAAACGACATATTTTGGATTTAAAAGGCAAACTTCTCTAGTTTATATCTCTACAGAAGGAAGCTGGCGCGTGTCTGATCCACAAATGGAGGCTTTCAGACAATCATTCTCCATCACCAGAGCAAAGTAATCAGAAGAGACACATATGAACATGTGGAGACTGACCTCTTCTTCTCGGTTTCGTATTTGCTGAGCAGTTTCTGCAAGCCTCCGTTCTTGAAGCCTTGCGAATGGGCTGCCGGAGCTCCTACTGTGACCACATCATAGAAGGAATCTACGGAGGAAACATCGACAAACATCCTTCAACAGGCCTCACAAATCACAAACAAGCCCACGGCACACGGTTTACGTCTATATTTTGTCTTGTTTTATGTGCTTCCTGTTGTTTTGTGAATACATCCAAACAGCCTGTTCCACCTCCAGCCCTCTGAGGCTCTGAAGAACTGCGATGTGTCTATTAAACTGGATTCAGTGTGGAACGACATGCTGTTTAGACGTGTGTAAACATACGCAATGGAAAGCACCTGCGCAACAGAATTAACACCACTGAATATCTCCAGTGATCATGTAGAAATGTTTCATGACAGAAAAACCATAAACTGGACAGTAGTATTTGCTTCGACTTAATAAAAAAACCTGCATTTAATAGACAATTTTCCAGTTATCACATAGTATTTACAGAATTTACATTAAGCAACAATATATTAAATAAAGCAGGATTTATTATTATTATTATTTATATAAATTTGTATTCGTGAATATAAATGTGCAATTATATTTATTTAATATTTATTACCAATTTAATATTTATTTAAGTTAATATTTCTAAAAAGTATTCTAAACATTATTATAGAAACAGTATAAATAACGTATATGAAGAGTTTGCAAAAAAACTATAACTCCACAATTTTTTATTGCGCATTCCAGGTAATATCAATCAAAATGCAGTTGGGTTGTTTTGATTAAGTAATAATAACTTAAACAAATACAGGTAGTTTACAAAATTAAAGTTCACTGAAAGTTTTTTTTTTACATATTAAAAGTTTGTTTTATAGCAAATGCCTTGAAAGTGGACAAAACCGGCTTTTTTGACAAAACGTGTTTAGGGTTCAGATCGGTCTATATGTGGAGAATAATGCACGGCAACCATGGCAAGCTAATTTTTTTTTAAAAGTGCCGTTTATCGTCTTTTGCAAATGAACTCTTCATATATATATGAAGAGTAGCCTATATATATGAGAAAATGTCTATAATACCTCAGATTCCAGATATACAAATAGTTGTATCTCGACCAAATATTGTCCTATTGTAAAAACAAACCATACATCAATGGAAAACTTATTTATTCAGCTTTCAGAATTTTTTGAAAAATTGACTCTTAAGATTGGTTTTGTGGTCTCACTCACTCACTCACTCTCTCTCTCTCTCTCTCTCTTTCTCTCTCTCTCTCTTTCTCTCTCTCACACTCACTACACACACAGACAGATCATCTACAGACACACAGTATCTACAGACACACACAGACAGATAATCTACAGACACACACACACTCTCTCTCTCTCTCTCTCTCTCTCACACACACACACACACACACACACACACACACACTATCTATCTTTCTATCTATAGGAATACAATCAGTGACTGTATAAATGTGCCAATAACTGTATATTCCTTCTTGTATATTTTTTATAACCAATAAAATTTGTGGTTGCAAAATGCTCGTGTGTGTGTGTGAAACTGTTCAAATGGTGTTTTCTGACAAAGGAACGAGATTCATTCAGATCTGGTAGTTTTGTTTCAAGGCTTAAAACTCTTTACTTTGGAGGGCCAATGTGTCCTATAGGCAATATAAATGGTCGCTTAGAGCCTTAACGTGCTGCGGTGGAGAATATTAATAATATCACAACCTCCTGACATTTATCCCCCAATACACACAGAAAGAAAGTGGCGACACAATGATTTACACATGATATTTGCAATGGCTCTATGGATGTTTTATCAATTGGGGCCTATGGAGAAAACGGGAAATCTCTTCACTGTGGAGGTCACATACTGCATCTGCAGTATTTCTGTTAGATATATGCAAGGTCAGCCAATCGGCTCTGTGGGAAGTGAGCGCAACACATTAAATGGCAAATAATGATCCAGGCCCCTTCAAACGCTCTGACCCCTGAGCGCCGGGATCATGACGCCCGTCTGCGCTACGGCCGCTTCGTTCCTCCGCTAATGACAATGAGGTTCTCGTGCAACGACTTCCATCCCACCCTCGTGCTCTCTCCGCTCCCAGGACGCTTCCGGAGCATCTAATTGGCTGTTTCACAACAGTGTACCTACACGATGAATACAGTGGCATATATATGGGTCAGGATCATCCGTCACGCATTGGCCCAATTTGGAGGTGATTTGTGCAGGTTCTTGCAGTCTCTATAAACGGAGGCTCTGATCCGAGGGGCTCAGGCACCTGTGTATCTCCATGGCGCAGATGAATTGTTTGCAGAGGCTAAGAAATGTAGTAGGGCTGTCAATTTAACAAGGTAATTTAATGCAAGGTAATTTTAATTCTATATTGTACGAAAAATATATAAACAATTAGGCCCGTTAAAGAGATAGTCCACTAAAAAATGAAAATTCTGTCATTATTTACTTTTGTTGTTTGACCATGTTGGTATGGACAAAAACACAATGGAAGCCAATGGGAACTGTTTGGTCACCAACGTTCTTAAAGGCTTAGTTCACCCAAAAATGAAAATTCTGTCTCTACTGCGTCACTTTGGACGCGCGTTCACGACAGCATCATGACGCGAGCGTGTGGCTGCGCTGACCCAGATCCGGCGTGATAACGTAATTATGCCGAATCTGGGTCAGCGCTGCCACACGCTCGAGTCATGGTACTGTCGTGAACGTACCAAAGTGACGCAGTAATTAATTAATGACAAAATTTTCATTTTTGGGTGAACTAACCCTTTAAAACACACATTTTGCATTCAATAGAAGAAAGCAAGTCTGGTTAGGAACGACATGGGGGTGAGTAAAGGATGACTGAATTTAATTTTTGGGTGAACTGTGCCTTTAAGAAACAACAATTACAAAAAAAAGATGGAGGTGGCATGCAACATGAAAATAAAACACCTAAAATCACTTTTCATAATATCAATTCAATACTTTGGTCTGGCGCAATGTACATGAATCTTTACACGTTTAAGAATAATTCCTATTTTGGGGATTTTGTCAGTGATTATTGCAATTAGTTTGATTAATGTATTGGTCACACTTTAGTTTAGGGACCAATTATCACTATTAACTATTAACTATGACTTTTGCCTCAATAAACTCCTAATTTGCTGCTTATTAATAGTTAGTAAGGTAGTTGTTAAGTTTAGGTATGGGACCTATATGGTCATGCAGAATAAGACATTAATATGTGTTTTATAAGTACTAATAAACAGCCAATATGCTAGTAATATGCACGCTAATAAGCAACTAGTTAATAGTGAGAATTGGTCCCTAAACTAAAGTGTTACCAATTTGTTTATATAATTCATAATAACATGTAATTAATTAGATTAACCATTTTAATTTGACTGACAGCTCTAGTTTAAAGTCACTGTGATACTTTTCTACAATGTGACATGTTGATGTGAAATACATTCTTAAAAATGGTTCCAAAAAAAGGGTTTTTGCCATGATGCAATAGAAGAATGATTTTTAGTTCCCCAAAGAACCTTTTTCTTAGTGTGAAGAACATTTTAATAGTCTAAAGAACCTTGTTACACTAAAGAATGGAAAGATTCCATTGATGTTAAAGGTTCCTTGTGGAACCATCGATGTCAATAAAGAACCTTTATTTTTTAAGAGTGAAGGATATCCAATGAGAAACGAATGTGTGAATAGGCTTAGAAAGATTAGAAAACACTTCCATATTTCTAAAAAAAAAAATATTTGACATGTTATGGGACTTAAAAGCAGCTGTAAGTGGCTTGTCACCATCAGGCAAAAAAGAAAAAGAAAAACATCCATAGCATTTTGCTAGTAACAAGCAAATGCAGTCTGAAAAGTGCTGTCCACTACTGTCACCTCAGGACGTCTGTCTGAGGCTATAAACTAAAGCGCCTTTTTGGAAATTGTGTTTGGGCTGCGTGCTTGAAGACGGAGCAGCATTAACAACATGAACTCCGGAGACGACGTCTGGCTTTTAAACTCTCACTCTGTCATTCAACTGTTGACGTTCATTCAAATGACATTCCTCTGTACATGAATATAATAATTAGCAATCAATTGCTTTTTTTCTTGAAAGCAAAAGAAATTGTGTAGGTAAAATATAATATTATATATGGCTACTTTGTATAAACTATTGTTCAAAAGTCTGGGGTCTGTAAGATCGATTAATTGATTGATTTGATTGATTGATTGACTGATTATTTTTTAAGAAATTAATACTTTAATTCAGCAAGGACACATTAAATTGCTCAAAAGTGACAATTCATGACTTCTTTAACTAGTACTGCAGTATATAGTATACTGTGCATAGTAGGCACTGCATACCTGCATTTAACAATTCATATACACGACATATAATATATACATAGCATTCCTTTGATCCCTTCAATGTAATATACTGCATGCAAATGTAGAAGAGAAAGGCTCTTTGAAATGTTATCAGTGCTCTTAAGAAGTTTCAAACTGAACTAATTATCTGTCCAGACGAAGAAATAAGATAAACTAACAATAAAAAATACAATTAAGTAAATAGATGAATGAATAAATAATGCTGGCTGCTACAAAGATAATTATTTATATTCATGATAAATTATATTTCCAAAATGTATATTATATTATTTTCTCTACAGTCATTCTCATTACTGTAATAAACCATTTTTTTTCCTGTTACAAAAAACTAAAATGTTTTTTATTTGAAGTAGAACAAACACCACAAAGCCAATAATTTACAATTTAAACAATAAACAAACAAACTGAAAATAAATAGCATACTATTTTATGTACTACTTCAGTATAGCATGTATAGAGCATGCCTGTATTTACCACTTTCTGCAGTATATGACACTGCATACCGTATCCTACAATGCAATGCTATCAATTTGATCCTACATTATAGACATTTAAACTGAAAAAATTACATTTTACAAATATAAATTATAAATAATATTAATAAAACATATTAATTTAAAAATTACTAATATTTTTTGTAAGATAATTAAATTAATTAGATGACTCTGAAATAAATTTGCATGACAATTGCATTTTTGAAAATGTATCATGATTATAAAGTAAATGTCCAATCAAAATGCATATTATTATACTATCTCTACAGTAATTCATATTATTGTAATACACAATTTAAAAAAATGATGTACTAATGTAAATACTTAACAATTTAAACAATAAATAAATACATAAGTAAATAATACCATATTACTATTACTACTACTTCAGTATATACAGTAGTATACATATATGGTTTTAATATTTTTTGGCACGAATGTGTCATTTAGCTTTTTGATGACAAGAATCGCCCCAAATACTGAAGTAGTAGTAATAGTAAACCAATAATTGTAACTATATTGTATCCCACAATGCAATGCTCTCTCTCTCTCGCTATATATATATAAATATAAAACTTGTATATTAATATAAAAATATAATTATTAATATTTTTATTTCTATGACAATTAATTTTTAAGTTCATTAGATAGGTCTCTGAAATACATTTGTACAACAAAAGTAGCATTTTACTGTTTCAAATATTTATTACATATTGTTTTATTTATAGGCAGTACGCTAGTATTCAATTCCAAAGCCAGCCAGAGGTAGTAAACAGAGGGAATAGGGACATGCATGAGACGCACCTGTTTTCCTTGGACACGTCACCCGCATTCTCTGTGTGTGCAGGTTGATGGGAATGAACTCCAGATATTTCTGGCCTTTGCTGCAGCTGGGCTTGAACAACGGGCCTGGGAAAGATCACCAAAAGCCAAGCGTTTATATATAATCTGCTTTAGTCCTTGTTCAAGAAAACAAACAAACACACAAACAGACAGAAGAGCGCAAACACACAGCGGGGGCTCTGCCATCTGCTTCTATTGAATTACAGCCTCATGCAAATACAACCCTTTACTATTATTCTGACTTGAATGTGTTGGTTGCGAAGCATTATAGCGGCCAGTTTGAATGCATTCGAGTACAAAGCCACGACTTGATCAAACGAATTCAACATCAGTCTGATTAAATGAATAAAAAGAAGGCAATTAAACATCAATTGAAGGTGAGAGCCAACACAAAGAGCCTTCACGCAAGGCCTTTGATTTAAACGTGTGAAGGTAATGTCTTTCATACAGGCCTAATAAAGGATAAAAGAAATCATGGATGACCTTGAGTGACTCGTGCTGTAGTAATGACCGCTCAGAGCTGCATATAAACACCGCAATCTGATTACAAATATCACTCTCCCAAATACCAGCTCATTTATTCTCAAATCTACTAAGCACAGGGTTTTGCTCAAATTAAGCACCACCTGCCTTGCACAAAAACAACCCAATTAAAATCTTCAGAAACGGATACTGTAAGCCCCTATGGTGAAGCAAATATCGCCCAGCGACACACGGCAAGCTTTTGATCGCTTCAGTGTAATATATGCAAATATAGCCAACAGAGACTCTTTGAAATGTTATCAGCGCTCTTAAGAACTTTCTAAACTAACTAATTATCTGACCAGTTGTGTTGTCAGCAGACAAAGAAAGAATAGAAATAAACTAACAACAAACAGATAAATAAATGATACGCTAAATAACATTGGCTTCATAAAATAAAATAAAGCTACAAAAATAAATTTTGCAGAACAACGGCTCTAATGCTGCTCCATGTGAAAGCCCGCAGGTGATGGAGATTTACCGTTGATTACAGAACCGGCTTTATTCCCCAAAATTCATATTGTTATTCTCAATGGTGATTTGCATTACTGTAATACAGCTTTTTTTCTATATTACAAAAAAACGTAAAAATAAAAACAAATTAAAAAACAATTTAAAAATAAAAACAAACAAACAAACAAATAAATTGAGGAATACTGTCATGAAAACAATGTCACAATGCAAAAAAAAAAAAAAAAGTGATGGTTTAAAATAGGGTTCACTTTGATAATAGTTTTTCATTGCATGACACAAGATATCTTTTTCAAAAATCAAGCACAAATGAACTCTTTTGAGGAAGTGAAGTGCTGTGATAATTACAGCTGATCAGACTCAAAGGCTCTGTGCACTCTCAGAAAAAAAGGTACAAAAGCTGTCACTGGGGCGGTACCTTTTTTAAAGGTACACTTTTGTACCTTTTAGGTACTAATATGTACACTTTAGGTACTTATATGTACCTTTAAGGTAACAATATGGACTCTTTAGGTACAAAGGTGTGCCTTTTGAAAAGGTACTGCCCCAGTGACAGCTTTTGTACCTTTTTTTCTGAGAGTGTGGCACAAAGGCATATAAACATTAATGAAAAGTTGTACAGCCCCACCACAGCCCACCGAACATCACAATACACCACCGCTGCTGCTCACACAGCTCAGATAAAGCTCAATATCACTCAAATATAGATCAGACCTGCCAATGCCTCCACAAAATGCCCTTTTTTATTAATAACAAAACATACTGAGGATGAGGAAAGTAAAGAAATAAAGAGCAGCATCCACACTGAAACATGATCTTTAAACATTTTTATCACTGCTGTAAGTTTGACCCTTGTTAAGTTGAAAATGTACATGCTGAAACATTTAACAAGGCATAAATTCACTACACCTCCAGCATTAAGTCGGGTGGGTAGAAACGGCACTCATGGGCACAGGAAAACATCGGTACTAAAAAAATACTGCACGAACCCAAATTAATGTGCTTTATATAGTTATATTTGGTTCAAATTTTAACAAAAGTTTCATGCAATCACTCTAATTAAGATCCAAATAAGCATTGCTCCGAAAAGAAAAAAATTGATGTATATTTAAAAAAAAAAAAAAGAAGTAAATTTTACATCAGGAATCAAATTAGAGTGTTTTATATAATTTTATTCAGTGTAATTTTTATACGTTTAATGCAATCACCTTAATTAAAATCCAGATAAGTACTGCTCTGATTCCATAGATCAGATGATTAGATATCAAAAGCACTCCTCAGTCTCTGGGTAAAAGATTATAATAAGAACAGAATGACTGAGTGCATCTTTAAGTGTCACTCATGCTGAGCACTTCTGGATAGTTTAGTGTTATTTGCACGTGTGCTCCGTGTGGCAGCGCTGTCAGACAGATGTGCTCTCTCCTGGGACACGGGCCAGCCAGGCGTGGAGGAGGAATTAGCCCCATCACACACTCCATCTGCCCACACCGAAACCTGCCCAGCCCAGGGAAACCCCAGCAAAACTGACCACTGGTTTTAGAAGTGGACAATATAACTAAAACCTTATTTTATAGGCTACATCACAGTAACAGTATATATCACAATAGTAATTTTTGTTGGATATTCAACCCAGAAATTGTTTTTTTGTGCTATTTTATGTTTAGGTGAGTTGGTGGCTAATTAGGTTTAGGGTTGGTCCTTCATACTTAACTTTTTTTTATAAAAATCGTATGTTTACATAAGATTCACATCATATGAATTCACACGAAATCGGCATCTTGTAAAATACTTTTTTTAATTGTAAAAATATTTTTCCATGAGATCGGGTTATAGAATCCAATACTTTACAAACAAAAGATACTTCATGTTATTTGATTATTTTAGCTTTGTTTTTGGAACCTGAGGAATGCAAACCAGAAAATAATATTCATAACAAATTAATGATACATCACATATTATATAATAATTAAAAACAAACGGATAGATAGGACTTTTAATTCTGATTGGATAAGCTACATTAAGAAATTGTAAAGTTCATAAATCTTTTCAAACAATGTTTTCAAATTTCAAGATATGAAATTATTAATTTTCAAAATACGGAAATCATCCTGTCAGGTTACCGTTCTTATAATGCCCTACAAATCATGAAATACAGAAACATATCAATATGAACAATGTAAACAGAAATACTATTTTAAAATACTGACATTATCTAATTAGGGTCGATGTTCATAAGAAATATACATAATTGCGTGTTTACACATACATAAATGTGTTTAAAAATGTTTAAAAAAAAAGTATTTACTGTTTCTTACCAATAATAAAAATCATTTTGTCACAAGTATCCAAGTTAAAAAAGCAGTATGTGTAATGAGTGGGTAAAATATGTAATATTTAAGATGCAGTAGGCGAATAACACATTGGACACTTTGCTATCCCATAATGAATGAATGAGCATACCAAGAAAGTTGCTCCTTATGATTGAATTGCACTTCATTTATTTTATTTATTTATTTATTTATTTTGATTGTTGTCACAGGTCAAAGGCAAGCCAAGATGGAGGATGTAGTTTATATGCACTGACTTAAAATACAGTAAAATAGAGCAATTAAGACGCAGTGGTTGTCAAGCTTGTCAGTAGTATGAGTTTTACCTTCCACTAATTTTATTATTACTTTTTACTTTGTTATAATTATTTAACTACTTCCATGTTAATTTATTCAGTGCAACACCGCCACATAATACAAAATAGGGATCTTCAGCATTAATAAATATAATAAGTAAACACTTTATTGATTTGTGTGGATGCAGTATATGGATAATCCAGTGAATAACAGCTGAATACCTAAAAATATCCTGCGGTGTGAGACTACAAGCCTTCAAAATAATCTGTCACACTGCAGGACTAAAGAACTAGTCGAGGCAAAAAGTGATTAAAAGTAGTGGAAAAGAAATGCATCAACGAACTACCTCGAAAAAAAGGTTTATGTCCATATTGTCAGCTATGCAAACACAAACGCACTTTGTCTCTTTTCCATAAAAAAGCCAGCAGTCTCATTATTTCTGTCCCTCTGACTGTTTTTCTCTCATAAGATCTCCTTCTCGGCTACAGAAGCGCATAATGATGAGAGTTCAATGCGATCTCCAGTCAGAGACGAGTGTACTTGAACAGGAGCATCGTGCATGTTTCCCTGCTTCCATTAAACACCCTTCTCAGAAATACTGAGAAAAAAGTCCCAGGCCCACCATAGAGCCTAGAAGGCACAGCTAGCTATTGGCACAGAAGCCTCTAACTGATTCAGCTTGGCTGTAGGTCTCTTGTGCCAAGCGTTTTCAGGGTTTTCCTCCCGTTAAACAGGCACCAAAGTCCCTGGGCAGCAGCAGCAGGAGTAGGTGTCTGCGGCCTGCAGGCACGTATAGCGCAGACTGTCTGTGGTTTTGCAATGGTTCTGGGGAACAAATCAGCGTCTGAGGCTTAATAAACTGTTTTTATGCTTACGTGAGATCTAAAGCCAACAAAGAGCAAATAGTCTTGCTATAAATGTGATTTCTGTCAATTTACTCACCCTGATGTTGTTACAAAACCCTTTTGAGTTACTTTCTGCCATGGCACACCAAAGGAGATGTTTAGCAGAATGTCCAAACTGTCTTCTTTTCTCAAAAACAATAGTGTCCAATGGCAATCAAAAACACCATAAAAGTATCAAAGCAGTCCATGCGACTCAAGCAATGTGACTCGTCTTTTGGAGTCGTAAGACAGCTTTGAGTGAAAAAATATTAAAATTCAGTTTGTAAGTGACAGAAAATTTCACCTTCCTTAGCATTAATAACATCAAACCTACCAAGTGTGCCATTTTTTAATCTACACTTGAATCAAAGCTTTGATTATCACATAAAACTGTGTTAAAAAGTGTTCAAAAGTTTGAGGTCAGTTAGACTTTTTGTAATGTTTTTGAAAGAAATTTATTCTACTCACCAAGGCTGCTTTTATAAGATCAAAAATACAGTAAAAAAAAGGAATATTGTGAAATATTATTACAATTTAAAATAAACATTTTCTATTTGAATATATATATTAAAATGTAATTTATTCCTGTGATCAAAGCTGAATTTTCAGCATCATTACTCCAGTCTTCAGTGTCACATGATGCTTCAGAAATCATTCTAATATGCTGATTTGCTGCTCAAGAAACATTTCTGATTATTATCAATGTTGAAAACAGTTGCACTGCTTGACATTTGTTTTTGTTTTTTTGTTTTTTAAAAATATTTGACATTTTATTCAGGATTATTTGATCAATAGAAAGTAAAAAAAAAAACATTATATAAAATGTATTTTTTTGTAACATTATAAATGTCTTTACTGTCACTTTTGACCAATTTAATGCATCCTTGATGAATAAAAGTATTTTAAAAAAATTATTTGAAAAACATTTGAACAGTAATGAATATATACAATTTCATGTGATGTTTTATGGTAGTTTTATGTTGTTGTTTTTTTATTATTATTAAATTTTTTTTTTTACAAGTTTCAGTAACACAAGGGTAAGTCAATGCTGCACTCTAAAAAATGCTGGGTTAAATACAACCCAGCGTTGGGTAAAATATGGACAAACTCAGTGATTGGGTTGTTTTGACCCAGCATTTGGGTTACTACCCAGAAGGTTGGGTTAAACATTTAACCCAAATGCTGGGTCAAAAGAACCCAATCGCTGGGTTTGTCCATTTTATTATTATTAAATTTTTTTTTTTACAAGTTTCAGTAACACAAGGGTAAGTCAATGCTGCACTCTAAAAAATGCTGGGTTGTATTTAACCCAGCATTTTTTAGAGTGTGAAGAAAAGAAAACAGCTTTAAAGAAAAGTCCAGGAAGATTCCTCACTTATTTTAATTACCCTTCACTTATTCCGTGGCTCAGTGGAGTCTTTGGATTTGTCTTACTTTGCTCTCTGTGACGGGGCAGGTGAGGTTGTGGGTTTCTCCACCCCGGGCCGAACAATCCCGCTAGAGGACTGACAAACAACAGGATTAGCTCCCAGTGCCTCTAATTCCACCGGCTGCAAACAATGCTAACACAAAATTATTAATTCATTAGTTAACACACTCTGAAGTACCCCGAGTCAGCCTTGTCTAATTAAAAATGAATTAAACGAAAGGGGAAAAAAACACCACAGAGCTTGTTTTGTTTTTGTTTTAGACCAGAGTCAAACGACTGCAATACCTGCCCTGAGGTGAAGAGGGCGCCGGGAGAACGGATCTGCCCTTTTGAGAAACGCCGGCTGAAACCAAACACTGTCTCGAGCCACATGTTGCCAACCTTGTGATAACATTAGATATCAATAATTAATACTCTGCAGTGGCACTGCAGTGAGTGGATTATGACAACATCCCATAGGACAGGAGAATGGGCGGAATGCGTCCAGAAATCGGCTAGTCCATTAATACCATTGACTAGTTTTTCTAGCATATTTTTCGTTTTTTTAAGCTTTAATTTTAATATTTAGTTTTTAAGCTTTAAAGGGGTCCTATTATGCTCTTTTACAAAGTCTTGGTTTTGTTTTGGTGGTGTACTAGAACAGGCTCTCATACTAGGTTGTTCGAAAAACACATAATTTTTCACATATTTTACATTATTACAACACCTCTCTCCCCAGTCTGGCATGAACGGCTCGAATAGTTCCTGTATCAAATGAAGGCCCGCCTTCTGAAATACGAAATGTGCTTAAACCCGGATGATTGTAACCACTCTAAGTTCGTCTGCCTTGGGAAAGCTAGCGTGTCTCCGACATAGTGATAACACTCGTTGCCTTCTTTAGTGCAGCTCAACCAGGTCTCGTCCCATTTGTCGATATTTGTGATATCACAAATCCAGGAAAATATGTGTTGTAGTCCGAACGAGTCGTTTGTTGTAGTTTTTGAAAAGTGATTTCTGTTAAATAAAATATCTCCTTTTGAAGTGGACTTCGAGCTTTGTAACTTTGCAGATCTTTTTTATGCTCAAACAGCAACATTACAGACTAACTAAAGTTGAAAAAGTGAAAACGCATAATAGGACCCCTTTAATATTTTAGCTGCAGTGCTTTAACGGAGGATGAATTAGGGGATGCAGAGGTTTTAGCATGCTAACTGTACTGTCAGCATGGCAAAACACTCTCTAAATGCTCTAAAACACCTCAGAAATTCAAATTGGAGTTATGTGGCTTTTAGTCCATGTGTATTTGAGATTGTTTAGTGTGCAGAGATACATGCATTTTAGAGCACAAAAGCATTGATGACAACCTGCACTAAACAGATTTTTGTCCAATCAAATGCGCTCAATAATGTCCTCCATGCTAATGCCGCCTGCAGCCGATTAGCATACAGCAAATCATGGTTCACTGTGTTCATCTGTGACGTAGGCTAGCTAAAAAGAAGAGAGTGACATAGCATTCCAGAAATAAGTGATTTCATGGGGCATTAGCATTAGCCACTACAGCTTTCAGAACATGCTTCTGCAAGAAATTCTAGGCCTTCAACAAATTTGAAGACAATTACCAAAAGATCGATTGCTGTGAATAGTCCTATTATTAATCAGAATCTAATGGTGCATTAAAGTTACGTTGGAAAGATTGTATTTTTGAGTTGAACATGTATGAATGACACCACAAAGTTGTAATTACGAGTAATAAACTTGGAAATTTATTTAAGCCCCAAGTGTGAGAAAACATGGTGGATGCAACATGCAGCGTCTGTGTTGATGGATTTGAGAAATTAATGATTTATTTTTCATTTACAATAAAACGATTAATTGCATGTTCAAAATACAACAGTACTGTACAATTACAACAGAATACATAACAATTCAATGTACAGCACCTTCATTATTTGAATAAAAACGTGATGGTGCAGACCCATTTACTGATGCTCGGCATATTTTCATGGGTGGAAAACAGTAATTTCCATAGGAATACACTTAATCATGAATTTTGTGCAAGAACGAAGTATATCCTCATGTGGTTTTCACAACATTTTTATGTTGGACACATGGATTCACCATGCTGACAAACCGAAAACTGCTTGGTGTTTTCTGTGTGAACGCTATTTACTACATAGTTACCCTACTGACAAAAAACAATGGACCTTTATGCTGTCAAATTTCGCTAATATTACAGCACCGTATAGCAAAAATAAACTTCCCCTTTAAGACTTGTTTCCTGAACGGAAAACCCGTTTTAAGTTGGTTTTCTGAACAACAAATTAGATTAAAAAAAAAACAACAAAAAAAAACAGTCCCTGGTTTCACGTGAAAAAGAAAAGATGGGAACGGCTGTGAAGGAGCAGGGCGTCTGCTACACAGCAAACAAGATTAGAGGCCCATGGACGGACACGTCAACACCGCTCAGCTGACAAAACACAAGCCTGCACAATTTCATCCCTGAATATAAGCCTCAGTAATGGGTCCATCGATCAGGCAGATCAGTTTTTTCGGCCCGTCACGGCTGATTAGAAGGGCAAGATCATCAATGACTATTCTTGCTCGGTGTGAGGAGCGACACGGCTGACAAATACTGGCATTTTGTGCTCCATTTTATTTTTCCTCCAACAATATGGATCATGCTAGAGCGGGGTGAGATGACAGGATATACCACGCGACAGTACCAATGTGTCAACTGGTAGAGACGTATAACGTTTACATGGCCATCGCTTTTGCAAAATGCACTGCGGCAATGACTTATTTGTCATTTTGGCTTATGTGCTTCTAAACAGAAGCATAAAATTGGCACTTTTTTATCAAATTTTCAGTCAATTCAAGTTTAGTTTTCAGGCAACGCATGCAATTGCAATGCTACAGTGCGTCTTATTATTAAAAGCGACACATATGTATTTACTGTAAACAAGCTTTATACAGGCTAATGCAATAGAGGCAGCTTTAAAAGCACATACTCTGCTTGTTCCTCTAAAACGTGCAACCATGCGAGTATAAAGTCACATTGAATGTGACAGCTAACTGTGAGCTGCATATGAAAATTTGATGAACTAAGAAATTCTGCATGAATGCGGCTGGACAAAAAAAAAATGCTTTTACAACTCGCACTGCTGATCAATTGTGTGTGATTGTGTGTGATGTCACACTGTTTGCACTGGATAAAGTCTCATGCATGCAAAATGAGAAAGGCTGTATGTGTGTGTGAGAAAGAGATCATGCTTCATTGCATCTGAAGCCTTTACCAGTAAGTTTCTCCAGCTCCACCAGCGTGTCCTGGTATTCTTTGATGATCTGGTCGTAGTGAGAGATCACGTCCTTCCGCAGATTGTCCCAGTGTGGAGAGAGCTCTCCTAGATCTTTCAGCTCTTGTATCCTGTGGGACACAACATAAATCAACCCTCATTATGTTGGCTTGACTTACAGAATTCCCATATTGGACATCCAAACAGGCCCAAATTCGCAGTCTTTCATTGAGGGGCTGAAAACGTCCAGTATTTAAGCTGTCATATCACTAGCAAAGCCTAACAACCAGTCTGCAATACACTAAATAAGCCTAACAACATGCTAAAATATGCTAGAAACATACTAAAACAGGTTAGCCACATGTTAAACATGCTAATAACAACAGGCTAAAACATATTAGAAACACGTTAAAACATGCAGGGAAAATGTTAAAATGCTCACAATATGTTTAGCATGTTTTAACATCGGTCTTAGCAACATGCTAAAACATGTTCTGCAAATGTTAGCAATGTGTTAACCCTAAACACATAAGCAATGTCATGCTAAAACATGCTCAACATGTTAACGACATACTAAAACATGTTAAAACATACTAGGATCATGCTTGCTAAAACATGCTAACAACATGTAAAAACATGTTAGTATTGTTAAAACAAACTAGAAACATGCTAACAATGTTAAATATGCTAGAAACTTGCTAGCCACGTGGAAAAACATGTTAGCAATGTTTTAAAATACGCTAGAAACACATTAAAACATACTAGAAACATGTTAACAATGTTTAAATATGCTTGTAATGTGTTAAAAATGCTTGTAACATGTTAACAACTTGCTAAAACATGCTAGAACTTTGCAAAACACGTTAGCATTGTGCTAAAACATGCTAAGGACATGTTAAAACATGCTGGAAGTATGCTAGCAACTTGTTAAAACATAATAGCAATGTGCTAAAACATGTTAGTAACACTGACTTTCTCGGACTTCTCTTAGTAAAAACCTTCACAATTCAAGCTTTTTAAGTTATTGTAAACTTTCAGACAAGTGTGTCTTCAAACTTTACTCATCTAGTTATTACTGTTCTGCTCAACAACTGAAAGTCTGAGAGCACCAGCGAACTTCTACTCTGCATTCACAATGCTAATTTTTGCTGTAATGAAAGCAGGACTGGAGCTGACTTGATCAAAACCTGATGATCATGTTCTCCTGCATGATTTGAGATGCAGAGCATTTCAAGCTTCAATGCAAGCAAGAAGATCTGAATTACTGGCATATTTTAGGTTTTCATAAGCATTTTACACTCACTCTGAACATTTTCTGCTGTTGTGACTTTAAGAGTTCATGTAAAGTAAGTGCTTTGCTGCACTGACTCGTGATCTGCGGATCACTGTCAGATCCGATATAGTTTTAATCACTCCATCCTACAAGAACAACATATCTGCTGCCTTAAACTTGCATTACGCTAAGATAGATTCATCAAAAACCACATGCTTGTCAGTGTGCCCTTCAAACTGCTAAGATCAGACTGAAACGATCAGGGATATTGTTAAAAATAAGCTTCAACTCAACTTTACTAACATTTCTGACATCAAAAAGTTGCAAAAGTACAGTTTTGCTGAGTATTTTGCTGAAGTTTTGAGTTTTAAGTTCTGAATGTCACAGTATGTTTTCTTGAACCTTGAATATGCAGGGATTAAATGTCACAAAACTTCAATTGTGCTTTCTGTGGGTCTTGGAAAAGGGATCACAGACTATTTGTCCCCTGCAGCAATTCAACAGGTAAAATTCACTCATTCAGTCTCATTCTCACAGCACTTACGCATAGACTTTCTCTTAACGTGTCATTCTGAGAGGCTCTTTTTCCTGACTTACTGTGTGTTGTGTCTTTTATGTTGTCATGGGAGGTCTGCAGCGATTTGCTGCGTAACACTACGGCAGATTTACATAAGTTATGGGCTCTTGTCTCTCCACGCAGACTGACAGAGCCAATAAGTCTCATTAATAAAAGGCTCAGGAATCTTTAATTGTGGAGGGCATTTCCAAAGGGAACAATGATTAATTTTCATGCAAATTGAAAGTCTCTGTGATACTTTAATAATAATTTCAGAAATGTGATTAGCATCTTCAAAAGGAGCCAAAGGTGACAAGAGCTGCAGAAGTGAAAGAAATTAGCAGAAAAGAGCATTTATTGTTTCTATTGAAAGGTAAGAGCAGGTCCCAATGTTTTTTCCCCAATAATCCTGGATCTTATTTTCTACATTTTAAAGCCAAAGTATGTAGTTTCTGTGCCACTATAACATCACCAAACAAAAAATGATTAATGTTAATTTTTCCAATACATTAATATATGTGCACAATTACATTTTGAAAGATTAAAAAAAATGAATAGTGAAGATAGTGAAGAATGTAAGTCAATGGGCTCCAAAACCACAAGACTGGACCCCACTGACATTCATTGTATGGACACCAAAAAACAAACAAACACAAATCTTCTTTTATGTTCCATAGAAGAAGAAAAAAATCATACATGTTTGAAAAGACATTTTTCAGTTTTCATTTTTATTTGAAATTTTAAGGTGCCTGAAGTGCATGTGGACTAAGATGTTTTCAAAGATGTGCTGAAATAAGGTTATTACTGCAGGTTACTTAAAGATTTCTGTTTCAGCCTCCAGTCAGTCTCTTTCAAAAGACACAGAGTCCTTCAGAATGATCTATTCCAGTCTCGTTCTCATTGTCAAACATCGGTTATCTAAGGAAAATAGACGAAAAGAAATTGTTATTACTTCATGCTGAGCCAGAGCAGTTAAAAGTCTGAGAAGATCTTGTGCCGAAGTTGTTGAGCCACTTAAAAAAGCATCATATCTACCATCTTGTTTTGTTCAAAAGCTCCGACTTGAATTGTAATGTCGCTTTATCAGAATGTGCTTTGGGTGGAACGACGGCGATAATAAAAAAGAGATTTGTAGCGGAAAGAAGGCATGCGGAGAGGAAGCGGAGGAAACTTCTGTTTCCTATTTTATTGGGGTTTGGGGTGGAAGAAAGACACAGTGATAAAGAGCAGAGCTGAAACAATAGATCTAGGAGTGCTTTTGGAGTTTAAAAAACCCACAATCGTTTGGTATAGGCGAGAGATGAGAGCGCTGGAATTATGTCTAGATGTCGGTACGGTGGGCCACTCTGAAGCCTTCATTTCATGGTGCGTTACGGCTGCCGTTCACTTTAAATCACCGGAGGCTTTGTGTCTGCCGTCAATTCCAGAAATGTGACGGGAATAGTAATTAACAACAGCTAAAGTACCTTTGAGTGCAGTATTACACTGGTGAAGAAACTACAAAATGCACTGACCTCAACACAAATACATCGGAAAACACAATTTGGAAAGTTAAATGACCAATTGTGAGAAAAAAACGTCCACATTGCTCACTTTCTATACTACTGAAACTTGTGTGTACAGGCTGTCAAGATTAAAGTATGAATGTGAAGAAGAATTGAGTCTCAGTTCAGCCCTGCAACCAAACATCTATATAAAGCATGGGGAATGAAAGTTATCTGTTAGCATTGGCATTCATCTCAATGACAGTTTCTCATCCCCTCTGGATGTACACGACCTGCATGATGCATCTTTTAAATGTAAAATTCGTGTGACTAATCACTCTGTAGCCGCAGGAAATGACATCATCACTACACTGACTGGCTGATGGTATCACAGGAACACACATGATCCTCAACGGAGACGTCAAAGACAGCAGACGGGGAGAAAAAAAGGCAATTTTATGTAAAAATAAAATAAATAAATAAATAAATAAAATGGTAACAAAAAAATCATTAATACATATTGGGCACTTGCATCATATAATAAAATTAAATACTTGCTATGTTATTTCTTCAAAAGACAGCAGATGGGGGAAAAATAAGGCATATTTATGCAAAATAATAAAAAAATGACACATGCTGGGCACTTGAATCATATAATAAAATTTAATACTTGCTATTTTATTTCTTCAAAGACTGCAGACAGGCAATTTAGGCAAAAATAAATCATTAATTAATTTACATTATTGGGCATTTGCGTCAATACCATCCTTTTTCTTACAAAAAATAATATCGGACACTGGCAAAACATCTGTTAAAATAATAATAATGAAAATTGCTACTTCTTCAAAGACAGCTGACAAGGAACTAAATAAGTAAAAACAAAAATAATACTTGGCACTTGTGTCATACATTTTAATCATATAAAATACCTGCTGTTTTATTTCTTTAAAGACAGCAGACAGGGAAAAATAAGCCAATGTCATGCTTTGTTTAAAAAAAGAAACAAAACTGAATGAAAAAAGTATTACAATAAATAAATAATTAAATATCTGACACTAGCAAAACATCTATTATAATATACTGAAATAATGCTATTTTATTTCAAGGCGGCTGACAACGAAAAAAAAAAAAGTTAATTTCATTCTCTGATAAGTCTTACAATAAATACATTCCGGACACTGGCAAACATCAATTAAATTTCATGCTTTGTCTTACAGAAAATATTTAAATAAAGAAAAGAATTTAAAAGAAATATCTATATATTTATTTATGTATTTATTTGTATGAAATACATTTTTATGATTAAATAACTAACTAAATAAATATCAGACACTGGCGAAACATCTATTGTAATATAATATGCTATTTTATTTCCTCAAAATACATAGCTACTTTTGAATAGCTGGACCTTTTGCATGGAGAAATATGATTTTTGGTCCTAAAATTGTTTAGTCACGTTATTGTCCAGCAGGGGGCTAACTGGACCTAACTTCTTTAAACTTGACCCCTTGCTCAACGTGAAGGCATTTAAAACCCATTTAAAAGGGTCATATGATGTTGCTAAAAAGAACATTATTTTGTGTATTTGGTGTAATGAAATGTGTTTATGCGGTTTAAGGTTAAAAAAACACATTATTTTCCACATACTGTACATTATTGTTTCTCCTCTATGCCCCGCCTTTCTGAAACGCATCGATTTTTACAAAGCTCATCGGTCTGAAAAAGCGAGGTGTGCTCTGATTGGCCAGCTATCCAGTGCGTTGTGATTGGCCGAATACCTCAAGCGTGTGACGGAAATGTTACGCCCCTCACCATATTGTGATGCCGTGTCCCGTTTAAAACCCATTATAAACGAGGCTTTTGTTGCATCCAGTGGGTACATAATTACGGATTATAATGACTTATACTGTATTTTTGAGTCTTAACTTTTATAAAGAATATCTCTTTGGGTTTGTGACTTTAGTCTTTGCAACTTTAGGGATCTTATCTATTCACGAACAGCTTGTAACACTCCAAAGAGAAAGGAAAACTTCAAATCGCATCATATAACTTTTATAATCGCATGAAATTTCAAGTTAAACAGATACTTAGAGAAGAAAAAAAGCATAGGTCAAGACCTCAAAATATGCATCAGGAACTAAGTGGGTTAAAGTAAAGTAAAGTAAAGTAAAGTAAATTAAAATAAAATAAAATCACAAATAAGATAAAATAAAATAAAATAGACTAGTGACACCACCCGACAAGGCATCCAACCATCAGAAACCCCAAAACATCTCCTGTTGCATCATCTGCAAACATGTCCACATTCTTCTTCCACAGATTTTCACTGAGCTGTGTGATCACTCCTTCATCTGACTGAATTGCATAGGAACTGAGCAGTGTGTGTTCTTAACAAACATCTAAGCGTTGTGTCGGAGTGTAATGTGGTTAAAGTAAAGTAAAGTAAAGTAAAGTAAATTAAAATAAAATAAAATCACAAATAAGATAAAATAAAATAAAATAGACTAGTGACACCACACGACAAGGAAAGTCAATTCAGAGGTGAAGAGTTTGTTTTTGATTAGCTATGAAGACACATGAAAATTCTGAAAAATTTTTTAATGAGTTGCAATGATGAATCGTGCAAAATAAATAAGAACAGGAATGTGCTTTATGCAATAAAATATGTTCAATTTAGATGTCATGTTGACTTCTGAAGGACACACGCAGTGAACAACACTGTGAATTTCCAATGACATCAGTCCGATGAAAGCGCAAATGAACACTAGACGGAAACACAAATGTAGACAAAAGCCCTCATTCACAATAAACAAACACTAGAGTTTGACAACTGCTGAAGATGATGTGAGTTTTGCCGGTGTGCGAATGCGAGTCACATCAGTAACAGTGATGCTTAGCAAACACCACTAATGTCAAAGCATCAGCATCGTATTGCATTCGATTCCATCATTTTCTAAACACGTTGAGACATGACATCTTTTTTCTTTGAATCGTATGCAATTGTGGTTAAACCAGAGCCAATAAAAGCAGCTGAAATGGGTTTCAAGGTGAACATGGCACCCGGGCCGATAATTAGATGTCTAGGGATAGAAATGGCTGCTTGAGTTACCTGTCTGTAGCGGGGAGAGCAGGTGTTGAGGCCAAACAGCCTCGCTGAATAATGCACACATGATGATAATTGCTTAGCAGGGTCTGATCTATGGGAGCTCCAGTCTGGGAATGTGTGTATCGCCGAGTTAATGATCTCACATTCTTCAATGGCCAAACACACACACACACAGCCTGGACCGGCGTACAATGATTTGTTGTAGATGAAAACATGCCTATGGTAATACCTGTCGACTCCGGGGAAGCTGCCGCTGATAATGATGCGTGCTGAGAAGTGTTTTGCATGTACATAAAAACAGAAACTCTGGGGAAAGCGTGAGAGCTGGAAACAAAGAACAAATTAAGCCGTGAGATTGTTCAGCATGATGCTCTGCGGTGAGAAACCGGTTTACAGTTGTCAAAGTCTTAGTCTAGCCTTTAGTGCTAGGATTGGGCAAAAACCTGAATTACAGAACTGACTCCATTCAGTTTACAAGTGTGATATTTGAACTGAATTGGCCACAGATGTTGACAGTAAGTGGAATTTATTAAATTGCTATTCAAAGAAATTCCACATTGTCTCACAGACGTTTTGGTAAAAACTAACTTTTTCTGATTAGACATTTTCAGTTTAAAAATATAAAAATATTACACTATATCATTAAAAATATTAATACAAAAATATATACAATATAATATACTTTAAAATATATAACAGATTTTCACTGAGCTGTGTGATCACTCCTTCATCTGACTGAATTGCATAGGAACTGAGCAGTGTGTGTTCTTAACAAACATCTAAGCGTTGTGTCGGAGTGTAATGTTGACTGCTGTGCTTTAGAAAGCTTTCTACTGAAGTTTTCCCACGTTGCGCCCTTGTTCTCTTCACCTCGCGTTTCCACGCGGCTCCATTCTCTTTTAGATTTTCCCTTTAAACGCTCAGGTTACAACTCTACCACAATGAGATGGAGGGAACAGAGAAAGCAAAGGTAAAATGAAAGAAAAGCAGGAGAGAGGGAGAGGTAGTTGAGTTTCTGAGAGAGAGGACAGGCACTCTCCTTTGAAGTGTTAAACATCCTTGAATAATTTAGTGCAGGCTAAGTATAGCTCTAAAACAGCCATTTCCATATCAGAAATAAACCCTCGCTCCACAAGCGCGCGACATCTTGCTCACACTGCCTTCTGTGTCGCATTCGTTCTTCCAAACAATTCCAGCTTCGCTCAACCTACACTTGAACCCGTTCTCTAGGAGCGGGAATCGCCAGGGATCTTACCACACAATGTAGTCACGATACCTCAGCCGCCATGCTGTTTGCAGGACATTCACATGATATTCACAGCAGATTTTATATCACAAGACAATTGACTCTCATACAGACAGTTTCCATTGGACCAGCGTCTAGATCTGGGCCCTGGATTGGTTTCATTACAACCACAAATTAAAGGAATATTTTAAAACTTAATCAAAATCCTGTCATCATTTTTTTTTCTCGTTATGAAGCTGAAAGGGGAAGCTCTGGAGAATGAAAGAAAAGAAAAAAATCGGTAACACTTAATTTTAAGGACCAATTCTCACTATTAACTAGCATGGATATTACAGGCATATCAGCTGTTTATTAGTACTTATAAAGCACATATTAATAAATTATTCTGCATGACCATATTTTAGATCCTTAATCCTATCCTATACCTAAACTTAACAACTACCTTGCTAACGATAACTAAGCATATATAATATATGCTTATATATATATATAACTAATATATATATATATTTGAAAGTCATGAATACTTGACAATAAAAAACTTTTAATGTTACAATTACAAATAAATGCTCTTCTTTTGAACTTTCTGTTCATCAAAGAGTCCTTAAAAGCATGTATTATGGTTTCCACAAAAATATGAAGCAGCACAACTGTTTCCAAGTTCAGCCTGTCATGTCACGGTCGAAGGAACCGTTGCTGAACTCTGTGCCTGTTTTGTTAAGGAGAATATTCATGAACTTTCCCTGTTTCCTGATGGTACGGCTGTAGATCCTTTAGAGGTGGCGGCATCTGCTGCAGAACCTCCAGAGGTGTCCGTGGTATCCATTTATAAACTCTCGTCCTGTTCTTTTCCGGCCAGGGAGGCCGTCTGGGACCCCTCTGCCAGTCCTGTAACGGCTATGGAGGCCGTCTGTGGATTCTCTGCCTGTCCTGTAACGGCTAGGGAGGCCATTTGTGAACTCTTTGCCTGTTCTGTTCCGGCCAGGGAGGCCGTCTGTGAACTCTCTGTCCGTCCTGTCACGGCTAGGGAGGCCGCCTGTGAACTCTCTTCCTGTTCTGTTCCGGCCAAGGAGGCCGTCTGTAAACTCTCTGCTTGTCCTGTTCTGGCCAAGGAGGCCGCCTATGAACTCTCTTCCTGTCCTGTCGCGGCTACGGAGGCCGCTTATAAACTTTTTTCCTGCCCTGAACCAGCCGAGGAGGCTATCTCGGAACTCTCGACTTGTTCTAAACCTGTCATGAAGGCCAATTATAGACTTTTGTCCTGTTCCGATCCAGCCGAGGAGGCTGCCGCCTGTGAATAAAGCTTGCACATGGATCCGCACGTCTCACGTCTTGTCTGCCCCGTAAAAAAAATTCAGCTTTGCATCAGAGGAATAAATTACATTTTAAAATATATTCACATAGAAAACAGTTATTTTAAATTGTAATAATATTTCACAATATTACTGTTTTTACTGTATTTTTCATCAAATAAAAGCAGCCTTGGTGAGCAGAAGAGACTAAAAATATTTCAGTTACATATATATATATATATGAGAGAGAGAGAGAGATAAACATATATATATATAAAAGAGAAATATGTGACAACTACCAAAATAAACAAGTTGCAACGTGTGGCAAATGCTAAAAAAATGCTACAAAAAAATGTCACTATTAAAATGCAAAAATTAGTATTCCTGTAGTTCACCTGGTCGCAAAGTCATAGGTTTGATTGTCACTGAGCACACAAACACAAATGCTTTGGTTAAAAGCGTCTGCCACATGAATAAAAATAAAATAAAAAATCTAGTTTTGATTATATTGATTTAACACTGTATTGACTGGCTGTCATCTTTCCAGTGAAGGCAGCTCTTCACACCAGATACTGCATTAAACATCCAGAGCAGAGGTTTATACAGTAGGCACATTAACTCTGACATTACACCCAAGACTCATCACTGTGGGCGTAAAACTTTTTGTGCCGCTTTAACAGTCTTGCCTGCGTCACTGCTTCCCCCTGTCCTGTTTGCTCTGCCGGGTCTGAACGGGTCTTACCTGCAGGTATCCTCCTGAATGTAGAGGGCGATGAGCTGCTTCGGGATGCTGAAGGACAGCGTACACTCCGCCATCTGTTCCCGAACCAACATCCATTTACTGTCCACCGTCTGAAACCTGTACACCTTACACACCGCGTTCTTAAACACTGATGGAGAGAGAGAGAGAGAGAGAGAGAAACAGAGAGAGAGAGACATTAAGCAAGAGATACAGCAACTTCTAGATGTCTTTACATTTGATCATTTAGGCAAAGTACTGTGAATAACAACACGGTAATTTCAGCCCGTTCCTTCCACAAAGCTATTGTATAACTTGAGAAGACATGGAAATATAGCACACGGGTTATGCGGAGCATTTTATGGTGTTTTTTGTTGTCTGACAGATGTTTATACTATATCCTACACTATTAAAACTGCTTTAAGAGCTGCTAACCAAGAGAGACGGAGGGGAAAGCGTTTCTGGATAGCCGTGAATGAGAGCGCAGGATGTGTTTAATGCTCTTATCAGAAGTGAGGCTGTGGCAGGAGAAGTTATTTCCTCATGAAATCTTGCTCCTCATCAAGGCTTCGCTCTACAGGCGAGTCAACGGAGCAGGACCTGAGGGGAAATCTGCAAGCCTCACCCGAGCGATTACTTTTCCTCATGATAGAGTTGCCTAAATAGTGGACGTTTTCACCATTTCTGGTCTTTGTGGTTGCAGCCTGAGATTCTTATTAAATACACAGAAAAAAAGGCCTACCATAACTCCGTAAGAGCTTAAACAAAGGGCTTTTTTTTTAAACATAATGAGGGTATATATAAAATGGAGAAGTCTGACTACCATAAATATAACGGCTGAAACCAGCAAGAAAATTAAACTATCTAACATAAAATGAACCCTTCATGAAAAGGAGCTAGATTTAAATAAGTCTGTTTTGTTGCCCCTGTATCACTGCAAAAATTATTTTCTTAATTTGTATTTTTGTTTTGTTTTCTAGTATAAATGTCTAAACATTCTTGAATCAAGATGCATTTACTTGACAAGTAAAATGACTTAAGATATTCTTAGTCTTGTTTTTTGAAAAAAAGTATCCAAACTTTGTAAGCTTTTGCTTAAAACAAGCAAAAATATCTGCCAATGGGGTAAGAAAAATAATCTTAATTCAAAGGCTAAACAAGATAATTTTTCTTGCCCCATTGGCAGATATTTTTGCTTGTTTTAAGGAAACATTAACAAAATTTGGATATTTTTTTATTTTTAGAAAAAAAGACTTAATATCTTAAGTCATTTTACTTGTACAGTAAATGCATCCTGATTCAAGAATTTGTAGATATTTATACTAGAAAACAAGACACGAATACTAAGGAAGAAAATAATTTTTTGCAGTGTAACAAAACACAGGGTGTCACAATTTTATGTATATGTAATCATGTAGCAACAGGGTTGCATGCAAAATGTGGCACTTCTATACATTTTGGTCATTAAAAAAGGTTATTTTAATGTTATTAAGATATATTTTAAATGTAGTCCGATGTACAGCCATTGTGCAATTGTTATTCTTTTGAATAATGCAACTTAAGCTACTATATATATATATATATCTTACATTAATATATTTAATTTGATTGCATTATTATATATAATCTCATAATATATCAAATCAGATTTAGATTAAAATATTTTCCTTTCTACAAAAATAATAATAATAATAATAATTCATGACCACCAAAACATTGCATTGTGTCCTTAATGGAAGCAGGAAGTACAGACATGTAGTTGGCTGAGGATGTCGAGTGAATACAGAGGCAGATGGATGCGTGACCTCCAGAGGAGGAGAAGCGGACTCAAACTCCCTCATCCAGTGCAGAGTTCTTCACAGAAGAGGATTAACCTCTGACTCCGCCCTCCCGTCTGCCCTCTAATCCAACGGCCAATCGGATCACAGCGTCTCTGCCTGCTCAAGCTCTTAGGGAAATGACTGTGAGTCGAGTTCGTGTTGAAGCACAGGGGTCGGGGTGACGAGGACACATTTCATTAGTCACTCTTACCGAAGCAGCAGAGACTTAACACATTTTGACGGTGTGATTAAAACAACAGCCATCGACAATGCCATTCAGTACGGTTACAGACACGTCAACAAATAAACACAGCGAAACATTAGATGCGAAGATAACACCCAACACCCTGGACTTCTGGAGAGATTCGTCTGCCGTTCCCGACTTCCCCTCCATCCATCACATCACAGCAGCTCATAAATAAAGAAATGACCTTCTACAGAGTTTGTTTCTCAGGGAACTTTTCTCATCCTGAGACTTCGGGTCTATTCACTCACTAATAATGAGCCAAAACTATCCGACACATCCCAACTCTCTTTTCCTCCTTGTGCAAATTTACACGGACTCAATTGAAATGTCACAGAACTATCGCATTCCCCCAATACTGTTTATTGCTACATTACCTGAGGTAATTAAGGTAATGAGCTGCACTTCACACCGCTGCTGACTGTTATTTAGCCGCAGCAATCACACCGTTCACTGGGACGGAAACTCCCTCATCCAGTGCAGAGTTCTTCACAGAAGAGGATTAACCTCTGACTCCGCCCTCCCGTCTGCCCTCTAATCCAACGGCCAATCGGATCACAGCGTCTCTGCCTGCTCAAGCTCTTAGGGAAATGACTGTGAGTCGAGTTCGTGTTGAAGCACAGGGGTCGGGGTGACGAGGACACATTTCATTAGTCACTCTTACCGAAGCAGCAGAGACTTAACACATTTTGACGGTGTGATTAAAACAACAGCCATCGACAATGCCATTCAGTACGGTTACAGACACGCCAACAAATAAACACAGCGAAACATTAGATGCGACGATAACACCCAACACCCTGGACTTCTGGAGAGATTCGTCTGCCGTTCCCGACTTCCCCTCCATCCATCACATCACAGCAGCTCATAAATAAAGAAATGACCTTCTACAGAGTTTGTTTCTCAGGGAACTTTTCTCATCCTGAGACTTCGGGTCTATTCACTCACTAATAATGAGCCAAAACTATCCGACACATCCCAACTCTCTTTTCCTCCTTGTGCAAATTTACACGGACTCAATTGAAATGGCACAGAACTATCGCATTCCCCCAATACTGTTTATTGCTACATTACCTGAGGTAATTAAGGTAATGAGCTGCACTTCACACCGCTGCTGACTGTTATTTAGCCGCAGCAATCACACCGTTCACTGGGACGGCAATCAAACGCTGCCAAATCCACTTCATAATCTCAACAATACGGATGGGAATCATACGGAATTCTATTCTGCTTCTGCTTCTACTTAATGATTCCATTAGCTACTGATTATTTCATTGCTCGCCCACATAATTGGACCGAAAATACACCAAACAAACATGCCAAATTAAAACAACACTATTTTTGATTACATATTCAGTCTTAAGGACCATTTATTCCAACAAAACTTTGCTAGAATAGGAAATTGGGGCTGAAAAACAAAAGCTCATTTAAAAAAAAAGGTGCTTTAGAAAATGTTGTTTGTCCACCACAGGAGGTCATAGTAAGTATAATGAGATGTTTTATTTTCTATTCATTTCATAATGTCGTAAAATCACGTAAATGTGGGTTTTATTTTCTAGGAAAAAACACATAGAATGTAATTTGTGGTTCTTTGATGAACAGAAAAGATCAAAAGAACAGCATTTATTTCAAATAGAAATCTTTTGTGACACTATAAATGTCTTTACTCTCATTTTTGATCAATTTAGAGTTCAAATGATATCACTTCTTGGGTGTCATAACCAACTGTAACCAGATTGTGTTAGAAAACGCTTCCTAGACAGTAATGAGCTTAAACAGCGAGCAAAAGGAGATGTTTGCTCAGGCCTTCTGCTTTCCAGAGAAAACGTAATCAAGCATCATCTCTAGAGTTTCAGCAGAGATCACAAACTGCTCAAATTCATCAAGACACAAAAGTCTGTGATCAAAAGTCAAAGAACTCAATATGAACTCATCAGATTATCCGAAGCCTGAATGATCTGAGCTGCTATGCACTTTCCTTTATAGCTCTACAGTTGGATTTTATTTCAGCAACTGCCTCATTTTGTATTTCCTCTATAGAATTTAAAAGAAACATCTGAGACAAAATGTTGATCCATACATGAAATAATAACACTTTGAAGGAGTTTGAAGAACCACCCCTGAGCAATCAAATGTTCCTATAGGAAATTACATCACATGTATCAGTGAATTCTGTATGGCTGCAGAGCTTGATAATGAGGTTTGGCTGGTTAGCATGACCTAGTTAACTGCTGATGGAAGATGGTTGCAAAAAGCATATCCTGTCACCACTCATGGCAATCCAATCCATGCATTCTATACATTTCAATGACATAAAACGGAAATTTTCCATTATATTATAAAATATGAATAAAGTCTCTTCTGCTGACTAAGGCTGCATTTTTTAAAATCAAAACAACTGCAAAAATTGTGAAATATTAATACATTTGAAAAACACTGTCATCTATTGTAATCAATATTAAAATGTAATTTATTCCTGTGATCAAAGCTGAATTTTCAGCATCATACTCCAGTCTTCAGTGTCACATGATCCTTCAGAAATCATTCTAATATACTGATTTGATGCTCATTAAACATTTCTTATTATTATCAATGTTGACAACAGTTTTTTTTCAGTATTCATAGATAACTAGAAATTTCAAAAGAAAAGCATTTATTTGAAATAGAAATCATTTGTAATATTATAAAAGTTTTTACTGTCGCATTTGAACAATTTAATCCATCCTTGCTGAATAAAAATATTCATTTCTTTTTAAATAATAAAAAGTCTTACTGAAAGTGCCCAATTCTACGTAACACTCCAAAGAGAAAGGAAAACTTGAAATCGCATCATATGACCCCTTTAAAAGTGTGACGTGGACATTTTTTATTTATTTATTTTAATCATGTATGTGTTGCCATCAGCCAATCAGCATTGTCATTTTTCTGTGCGTATATGTAGTCACATGACATTTATGCATTCAAAACAACCCAGCAGCGGAAATTAAACGATGGCGTGTTTCAAATCACACACTTCCACTAACTCTCTTTCTTCAAGTATTAGAAACTTGACTGCATATGAGCAAAAAACTCAAAATATAAAATATTTTTTAACTCACCAGCATTCATTATTGGTCCGTTATCTTTGTCATTAATCCTTCCATGTGACGACTCGTACACCAGCGTGCACTGTGGGAAGAAAACAAGATTGTGCATTTGAGACTGAAGCTCATTTGTCCCGATTATTAGACATCAGAATAATGACTACTACTCTAAATACAGCCGACGACATCAGAGTTTAAAACATAACATCGTCCCGTGACTCTCTCTCTCCATCTCACGAGCCGAACACAGTGACAAGCTGTCACCTGCACCACTGCTCAGATAATAGAGGACTTCTCCAAGTATCCCCCAGCGCCAATGTAAGCAATCCAGGAGAGGAGAAACCCTCACAGCAGCTCAAGACAAACACGACCCTCCATCAACATCAGCCGCAGTGCTTACGGACTAATCACTTGAAATGCAACGCCCGCATCAGGGTTTAGTGCGATGACGGATGAGTCTTCACGTCACATTAGGTCTCATGACCTTGGATGGGTCTGTAAGTGTTTCCAGTCAGTTCTTGGCACACAGCTCAAGAGGGAGAAAAAAAACCCAAAACAAGAGAAGAGTTGCAATCAGGCCTTGTTCTTGTTCTGTGGCAGATGCCCCTCAAACATACATCAGGTCTGACCCACATTCCCTCATGAAGAACAAAGAAAATCACTTCTGAAGCCCACAGATCAAATAAAACCACAACGGCTCTGAGCCAATAAACAGACACACAAAAACACACACTATCTATTACCCATCCATCCATCTATTTATCTTTCACCCATCCATCCATTCATCCATCTATCTAGCTATCACCCATCCACCCATCCATCACCCATCCATCCATCAATCCATCCATCCATCACTCATCCACCCATCCACCCATCTATCTATCCATCCATCCATCCATCACCCATCCATCCATCCATCAATCCATCTATCACCCATCCATCAATCGATCACCCATCCATCAATCGATCACCCATCCATCCATCCATCCATCTATCACTCATCCATCCATCCATCCATCACCCATCCATCCATCCATCCATGCATCACCCATCCATCCATCCACCCATCCATCCATCCATCCATCCATCACCCATCCATCGATCCATCCACCCATCCATCGATCCATCTATCACCCATCGATCCATCGATCCATCTATCTATCTATCTATCTATCTATCTATCTATTTTTGAAAGAAAAGTGTTCTTCCACTGTAGTAAGGCAATTATGAAATATAATTATGAATATAATTAATAAAAATCAAATAAATGTAAAAATAAAAATGCAAACCTACAAATAAATATACAAGCCTATGAACAAACAAACAAATAAAAACTTACTTTTTAATATTTCTCAAAATACCCCACATGAAAAATGGGTGATGACTTTATGGGTATTTCAAACTGAAAAATTAAACATATTATTATGATAGCTTGGCAAACTCAACAATCTGTCCGTGCGGTCTATATACTTTTCAAACTTCAACTTTTAGACAAGGTTTTGCCAATCCAACATTCAAAGTTCGTCTTGACAAACTTTCCTTTTCAAGTTACAAACAATTTATTTCTACTTCCCTGCATTCAAATATAAATTCTGAATCTCGTTTGCTACCTCAATTCAAATTCAGGATTGTCATTTATAAGGCATTCTCTGTTTAAATCTCTTCAAGTTTCTGTATTAAAATGGTGCTCAGTCTGAATTTCCTCTCTCATGTCCTTCATCCATCTCCATAATGCTCCATAATTCTCACTCCCTTCTGTTTTTTCCCCTATATTCTGTCTGTGCCTCTTTCATGCTGATTAAAGAAGGTTAAAGGGCTCTGCTGATGGGCGTGTCAGTGCAAGTTATTGAGTTTAGGGGACATGAAGGGTGTTATGCTGTGTGTCAGAATAATAATGCTCAATTTTCCCTGACACACAGGAGGAAAGCAGCTGAGGACACACATACGGCTCATTTCCACATGCCTTCATATGTCTACATATAGAGCCCTGCACATGCCTCAAATATAGGCCCTAGCCCGGCCCTGGCCTAAAACGTTTGGAGCATTTTTTTTGTTCGTTAAATGTAAGTTTTTGTTTTTTAAAGTGACCAAGCGGCCAGCGGCAGACAGTGAGTTGATCTTAGCCTATGTTTGATCAATTTAGCCTTCTCAAATCATCACGACTTGCCTAAAATAAAATCTATAGATATAAAACAGTTCAAGCATATCACAATGTTAGTTTAAATGTTTAACCTATATAAATGTGCGCTATTAGACGCATATCTAATCGTTTGTGCGGAGAGCTAAAGCGCGCTTTACAGGACATGGAGGCGCCGGCACGATCACTTGCATAACAAACAACTTAAAATATGCCGTCATTTTTGCTCGTAAAGGTAAGAGTAATACATCACTAGGAACTGTAAAGGGTCTACTTTTATTTGTGTGCACTCACAATATCAACAAAACGTTGTGCTTTTATAAAATAAAGGATACATACAGATGCGCTTTCTGCAATTTCGGCCTGGAGCGCTTCACAGATGAACCGAAACTCAGCAAATACTTGCCTCATAGACTTGCTAAATATATCTATAGAACATTTTAAATTACTACTTTAACGGATTTTATACAATCCGTAAAGATGCATTTCTCAGGATCAGGATCGTCGTCCTTCATCTTTGCGACACGGACTCAGAAAACACTCATTTATTAATAAATAATTAAAATATCTCCTTACTATTTCCGCCCCCCCGACCCATTCATGGTAATTACGTTTTTTGCCATGACCAATTGACTCACTGTTTGCCGTGGTAATCAAATCAAAACTCTTCCAAAATGCAGCTTTTCCCGAATCATTGTGAACTTTTAGTAACTCCTCACGCTCTAACTTCTCCCTGATGCTCTGCATGGTCAGCTGTCACCAGCCTATGTGTGCTCTGCGCGTATATGGGCACAATAAAAGGAGAGAAGCTAAATGAGCCCGAGTCCGACCCGTGCCCGATCTGTAAAAAAAAAAAAAATGGGCCGAGCCCGGCCCGAATGGACTCAGCGTGTTGGGCCCCGTCGGGCTTGCAGGCCTCTACTGGATAAAATATTCCACAATATTCCATAAACACACACACACACACAGTAAACGCTCTCCAAACAGATGCTATACTTCTTCAGTCAACTGTGCAATTGAATTTCTGGGATGCCACACACAATATTCACTCCACTTTCCCTCACCTCTTTGACTGAAGACTTGTCCTGAGAGGTGATTTTCTATTACCAGCCCTTACAAACTGCATGCATATGCACAAAAAAGACAACTTCCCACAATACAAGCCACTCTTAATTTACAGTAGCTCAACAGCAGTCAAGAGACTCTCTTGAAAACGTAGTTAGCTACACAACAAGCTACTAACACACTTCATTGAAGCATTGCATTTAACTAAATATTTTACTTCAAAAACAACTAAATTAAACCACTAATCATTTATTTGATCTGTGAATCATTCATTTAGATGAACTGTTCGACCACAATAAAATAGGATGAAAAATACAGTGATTTTGTCTTGAAAGCAGCTGAACTACTGGTGTTGTTAATAACAAAAATACAATATTACCTAAAAAATAAAATGCCTATAGAAATAAATATTTCAACTTAAAAAAATGTCATTCATAAATTTAAAGGTAACTTATTAAACATAAACTATGTACATAATAATAATAATCATAATATTTTACAAAATTGATTTAATAAATGTAGAAATAAAAAAATGAATTAAATAAATAAACAAGTTGGGCAAACTAAACTGTCTGTCTATAAAGTCTATATACTCTTCCAAGGCTACACTAGGCAGTCGAACTAGTAGTGTTATCGAGTCAGTAGCTAGTTGTTTAGCTTACCTTCTGGTGCATGTCGGCGGTAATGTGGTCCACCTCACCATCCTCGATCTCACCCATCTTCATCCGGCTCACCACCACTGTGCCCACGGTAGCTGAATCATCTGCTGTCCTGAAACACATCAACACAACGACACATGAGTCTCCATACATGTGTGGCAACGTCTTCATGAAAGACAGCATTTAAATTACACCCATCATCTTTCATTACGTTTGGTCATTTCCAATGTTGGGGAGCAACTAGTTACATGAAACAGTATTGCATAATTTAATTACAAAATAAATGCAATCTGTTACAGTTACTGAGAAAAAATGTGTAATTAAATTACAGTTACTTATGAAAATAATATATTTTCTGTAAAAAGCTAAGATATGTTGAACAATATTAATTTGTTGTTTTGTCTGTTTTTGATATGCACAATGCCTCCTTCCACTTAAAGGGGCCGTTCACATGTCACGCCTAAAATGCGTGGAAAACACTAGGCGCTCCGCTTTCTGCTTTTTTCCAAAGCGTTCGGGCGCTTGCGCTCCGGAGGCATCTGCCGTTGCTAAGCAACCATGACCTGCGCTCTCCATGAAGACGCGGAAGTTTCAGCAAAGGATAAATGGATTTGCAGCACTAGTACTGGAAAAAGTGGTATCGGTGCATCCCTAATTAAAATACATAGTATAAAAATACAATACAATCATTATACATTTAATAAATAAATAAATAATACTTAATAAACATAAATAAGTAAACAAATAAATTCTATAGATTAGCTTGCCAAACTAAACTATCTATCTGTTATACTTATATATTCAAATGCTACACTGTTTTAAAAGCAGTTGAACTACTAGTGTTGTTAAGTTAGTAGCAGTGCTAGTTTAGTATAAATAAAAACACTATATTACTCAAGAAATAAAAATGAAATGCCACTTACTGAAATAAAATTTCTATAAAATGAAATGTTATTCCACTGTAGTTCATCAAAAGATAAATTATTAACTTACTGTATATCAATTATAGAAAATTATCATAAATGTATTTATTTAGAAAAATGTTAAATAAATAACAAATACATGAATGAATGAATGAATGAATAGGAATGAATAGAATAAGCTGAACAAATTTGTCTGTAAAGCCTATATACTCTTCCACTATTTTAAAAGCAGTCAAACTACTAGTGTTATTTAGTTAATAGCTAGTTGTATTTATTTAGCTTACCTTCCGGTGCATGTCGGTGGTAAAGTGGTCCACCTCACCATCCTCGATCTCACCCATCTTCATCCGGCTCACCACCACTGTGCCCACGGTAGCTGAATCATCTGCTGTCCTGAAACACATCAACACAACGACACATGAGTCTCCATACATGTGTGGCAACGTCTTCATGAAAGAGAGCATTTAAATTACACCCATCATCTTTCATTACGTTTGGTCATTTCCAATGTTGGGGAGCAACTAGTTACATGAAACAGTATTGCATAATTTAATTACAAAATAAATGCAATCTGTTACAGTTACTGAGAAAAAATGTGTAATTAAATTACAGTTACTTATGAAAATAATATATTTTCTGTAAAAAGCTAAGATATGTTGAACAATATTAATTTGTTGTTTTGTCTGTTTTTGATATGCACAATGCCTCATTCCACTTAAAGGGGCCGTTCACATGTCACGCCTAAAATGCGTGGAAAACACTAGGCGCTCCGCTTTCTGCTTTTTTCCAAAGCGTTCGGGCGCTTGCGCTCCGGAGGCATCTGCCGTTGCTAAGCAACCATGACCTGCGCTCTCCATGAAGACGCGGAAGTTTCAGCAAAGGATAAATGGATTTGCAGCACTAAAAATCGCTTGCAGTAGCTCTGCTACTAAATTTATTTTAAAATGGCTATCTCTGTACAGCTATGATCAGCTGTTACTTCATCTTGGCTGAGCTTTCAATGTTGTTACGGGAAAGGATGAAGCTGATTGGTTGGTTCTTATCACATGACCCGCGGTGCGCTTGCAGCATTCTGAAAAGTTGAAATGTTTTTATCTCGATGCGGCACGGGCGCGCCTGGAAAAAATGAGCGCGTCGCACAACGTGCGCATCGCTTCCATTATGAGCACTCCTGCCACACGTCGACATTTGAAATAACGAACTCGAGCGTGCAAAAGACGCGATATGTGACCGGCCCCAAAGGCTGTTTAGTAAAGCGATGCTATTCTGATGCTTTTGATTGGTTCTCTTGTTTGAATTTGCATTTGATTTTGATTGGTTTTCTCTTGTTTGAAAGCTTTAGGCTACAAACTGTCTTAGGCCCGATCAGACAGAACACATTTTTTGCAGTGAGAGGCACCTTTTTTTAATTGTTTTCTATTGGCAGTGAGTGTTTTGCACGCTGTTTATGTGCCTCGGGCACCTTGCATTTGTGTAGGAGCACTCTGAGCGCCTGAAGTTGAAAAAAAAAATCAACTATGAGCAGAAAAGTGCCCGACGTCCTTCGCATTTCTTTTTTCCATTGTCCAATAGAATGAATGGAGAGGCGGGCCTTCCGTTGTGGTGACAGAAGTTTACAGTTGCTTGGAACCGTTCGGAACCAATGGAATGTTCAAAGACTGCAAAAATGGAGGAGAAACTTGTGGCGGCTGTCGCGGGTCACCTGGAGCTGTATTTTTTTAAAGTTTCTGCTAATATGACAGTTTACGTAACAGCAAACCAAAGATTTTAGAGCGCTCTCGCTGTAATCCTTGATTAGACTGACAGGACAGCTGATTTGGTGGTTGCCTAGCAACATTAAAAAAACGCAGCCCCTCGCATTTTCAAACTTGAAAAACGCATTCTGTCTGATCAGGGCCTTATGGTGTGTTCACACCAGACGCAAAGCAAATATGCGCATCGCGTCACTCGCTCTAGATTACGCGCGGGATGTTTTTTGTGTCACTCGCGCGAATAAAAGCAGCACGATCAACCATGGTGGAGATAACTACAATTGCTGTTTTTTACCTGTTGTCAAAAAGTCCCAAATACAATGGAAAGCCAAACGCCGACGTGTCTGGGTTCACAGCACCATCCAGAGGAGGATGAATAATGTTAGGATCCTGTATTAATGTGTGTGTTACATTTTACTACTGCATACACTGATATTACTATTATTTTTATTATTGATAGCAGCATCTCTGTAGCCATGCTAATAAAATACAACTACCACTACAACTGATTTTAATTGTTTTTTATGCTCCAGACCTATATAATAACAGACGGCTGCAATAATGCTCTCTTCTATTGTCTGATTCAACTGGACGTGTCAAGAAACTCTTCGCTGATTGGCACGTCATGCGAATTTTCTGCTCGAGTTGAAATTTTTGAACTTGCGCG